TCTAATTTCTCCATTATTGGTTCCCATAGTTGTTTGCTAATTTCTGAATAACAGGTATTCAGACACTAAACTTCAATTGAGGACAGCTGCATGTACAATCTGATTTCAGGAGCTGCGTTCAATACTGAAAATACGATTAAGAGATTGTGTTAAGAATGGGAATGATGAAAGAATTCGAGCACGTATTCAATCATTTGACACGTCATTGCTGGACTTAAACCTTATAGATGATTATTTATCTGAGAGTGATATTTATGTGAAGGAAGGTCGTCACACGAGTACGACTGTATCGTGTGATAACCAGTTGATATCATCGAATAGTCTGAATCCTACCAATAAGCAATCTGAAAGCGTTATCAGAGCGAATCGAACATTCTCTTCGAATAGACGGACGAATTATTGCGAATTCATGTGATACTGAGAGGTGCAACAAGCTAACGCGAAACATCTGCATATCAAAGGAACTTGATTCCTCTAAATGGAAACTTTATTTCAAATTTTTTTGTTCAAACGTTTCTCGGAGATAAGCTTCAAAGCTTGGCTGCTGTCTAGATTTTATTGCCTTTAGCGTACCTCTCTCACTCACCTCTGTTGATATCATTCTTCAAGCATTTAACATTTATACTCTTGCTCAAAGTTCTTTCCGATTTTTTGAATGAATGTTGTACAGGTCAGGCCCAAAGGTCCGTTTTGCATTAATAATTAATACCTCGTACATAAAGAGTTTGTCATGCTTGCGTTTTTTGAATGTCAACTATTCATAAATTCTCTTTTTCAATCATCTATTTTATGCTATTCAAATTTCGTCGAATTTTTTTTGTCAAACGTTGGATTGTCAAATTTTCAACCACATCAAGCAGAAGTGAACAGTTGACAATTAGTTTTTTGCTTCATTTTTGTTTTATTGTACATCTCATTTTTTCACTTTGATAATCATAATCGGATTATGAATGTATAATCTTTCGAGATTTCTGTTTTTTTTTTTTGAAATGATATTCATTGGTTCTTATTGCATTATGACATTTCTTGATGTGATAAAATCAGTTTCGACATTCGGATTTCTCATTCGGTAGAGTATACGCGTTTCATGCGAGGGGTGTTTTACTGACATAAGAATATGGGAAGTGATGATGTGTAGCGCAATTGATCATTTCGTATAAACTTTACCGATCAAAATATAATCGATGATATCGACATAAAGCAGTTTTTTTTATCGGATGAACACTAAACTCATACATCACGGGATTCACTTCAAATTTATAACTTGAAACGTCCAGAAAGCAGTCGCTTCGATTATAAGATGAAATGAGTTTGAGTATTTCCATGTGTGCACAGTCAAGCTAACTGAGTGAGTGTGATCGATTGAATAATTATTGAAATGAATGGACAATTGAATAAAATAATGGTGAAATATATAATGAATAAACAATAAATGAATCTAAACATATAATCGAAACCGTGACCTGGCTCAGATTCGATAATATCAATCACATTGATACACTATTCCATTTCGAGTAAAGCCAATGTGATCACTACATAACAATGCCAGTAAATGTTGAGTAATTTACGTATATGAACGGAACGTACAGTTTAAATTCGGTGAAATCGTTCTTCTAATTCAAATTTCATTCAGCTTCACTAACATATAAATACCGTTCTGAGAAGGCGTTGTCTTTGTGTTTATAAACAACATTCTAATTGGTCAGTTGCTTTATATTGCGGGTTTTGGTCGTTTCAAGAAGTATTTCTGATGGGCAATTGACACGTGCCAATTGAACTGAGCTCGAGTTTAGAGCTAAGTTCATCGCTCTGAAATCCATTTCATTAAAATTCCGTCAATGAAGGAGCGTTGATGCTGATGTCAGATTTCAGCTCTCACGAGATCGCTTGTATAACTTTCGTTTTTTTTGGAGGGGGGGGGGTTCGATCTGGAGTGACATCATGCTCGGGAGTTCTGAAAGTGGATGCCCGAGTGTCTCCGACCCAACCCTGATTGACAGCATCGAACAATTTCGACGAAAATGATACACTTATCAGGTTTCAAAGAACAATGGAAGCTTCAGTTGATTCAGTTGGTTCATCAAGAAAGATTAAACGACATTCAGGTCATGGGCACAAATGGATTGGCGAAAAGTTAGTTGTTTATTGGAGAATCTGATCGTTGCTATTGCTTAAAAGGCTATAAAAAGTGCTGGATAGTGCCCATGATCCATAATGCAAACTTTCCCAAATAAGTTGATCTTTTAACGTTTTTCGTTGATTCTTCACATTCACTAACAATAAGATCGAAAAACTAATCAAAATGTCACACGAGTTAACGTTAAAGACCGAGAATTGCGATGTTCTCAAAGGTGAAAGGTCGTCTAGATATGGCTCGTCTTCAGTTGATTCTAACAAATATCGATGACAAACCAATGAAGTACAAAGTTAAAATCAAGCAAGGCTGTACCGTTACAGTAACTGATTACAATCATCAACTTCTCATCTCATTTTTTAAGCAGACTGCACCAAATTGCAACCAAACAAGTCATTCAACGATATCGTCATTCGAATTTTTCGCGTGCGTTTGAGCTTGCATGGAATCACGAACGTTCAAATGAATAAATGAG